TCGGAATTCTATCCTATGTTTTTATAATAGTACATGGGCATGACTTTTAACTGACCTGGTGCCCGTGAAGTCATCGAATTTATCCGGTAGACAAGCCGGACTGATGTGTGGATTCCTCTCGAAGTCAACCTCATGATCAAGCTTGAGAATTGCTATATCATTGTACAAAGTTCCAGCGTAGAAGTCAGGGTGCACGAAAACATTTATGATATCTCTTTCGATGTATGGATAGAACTCAACATCGTGGTTGACGTCCCACTCACCAAGACGAGCACGAAGATCATGACCAGAGTGAGTTTTCACACAGTGAGCAGCAGTGAGAATATGTCTCGGAGAAATCAGCGTGCCTCCACATACGTAAACACTCTCTGAGGGGTCCTTCTTCAAGATTGCCACTTGCCAAGGGTATTCACCTATAAATATCCGAAGATTTAATGCTATTTTCCATTTTTTTATGACGATCAAATCAAATGATCTTGAAGAGAAATTAAATTATTGTAACTGTTGGTTCTGAAGGGCTTGCAAGATATTGGGAAATTGCAAGAGGAATTAATTACCGAATTCAGAATCTCCATCAACATAGACTGGCGTTTTGATGCGTCCATTGACCCCTTGTCCATTTCTGACTCCACACTGTCCATGTTTAGGTCGATTCAAGCCTCCAGGGTGGATTTGGTTTCTTCTGCAGCAGACATGGTGCGGTCCGCACACCGGTGGTCTCCCGAATTGTCTCTGTTAAAAAAAAAAACTCATCAATATCGCCCATAATTCTGCAAATCATCTCCCAATGCTAATTCCCACCGAGCCAGCGAATTCCCACAGAATCGTTCGACGGTTAATTACGTTCGACAAATTTACATTATTTAAACCATTTAACAATCAATTAATTCATCCTCCAGAAGCGGAGTAAAATCTTCGAAAGCCCCAGAAGCAATATCATTAGTACCTAATCATTAACATGAGAGTAGGAAAATGCAGAGTCAAGTCGTCATCATGACATGGAATTATATCTCTTACAGTAAAAAGCGAGAAAGTCTGGGAGAATCAGTTAAAAATAATAAACGAAGGTGAAAATATGAAATATGAAATATGAAGCGTTAAATATGAGAGAAAAATCGTCGGCAGTCTTTTCTGAAGCTCATGATTAAACTCAATGATCAGTCAATGATCATTACAATCGGGTGATGAAATTTTTCAGTCTGAAGTGAAAATGATCCTCAGTCGTGTCCTGGATGATCCGAAATGTGGACAAATTATCCCTTACCTCCAGAATTTTCACGTCTCCAACATCACGCCTCTTTCTATCTCTGAATGCCACTGTGCTACCTCTGTTCTGATTATTTCCATCGCGTCCTCTCGCTGTGATATTAGCTTTATTACTCCTCGCATAGTCACTGTAGTCAGACGGATCTGAATAATCGTAATCCTCGTCATTACGATTATATCCACTGTACCCATTGTATCCATTATATTGTCCATAATTTCCAGCATAATTTCCAGGATAATGTCCCCCATGATTTCCCCCATGATTTCCCCCATAATTCGCTCCATAATTTCCTCCATAATTTCCTCCATAATTCCCTCCATAATGTCCATTATTCCCCTGCCAGCCAGGTCTCTGGTGCTGATGATGGTGTTGATGCTGATGGTAATGTTGCTGGGGCCTTTCATGATAATTTCCATAATGAGGCCTTTCATAATGATGCCCATGATGATGTGGAGCATAATGTCCATGTCCAGGGTATCCGGGATATTGTCCAAATCCCCCTAGCAACTGCTGCTTCTTGTAAGCCAAGATGTCAGTGAACTTATTGACAATTCCCTGATTGGGTGTCACGTGGAGATTAACGAACGGTTTTATAACTTTCTCTCCATAATCGTCTTTACCCACTTGCAGAGCAACCAGTGGATTAACTGATACCAATCCCAGATTGAGACCATTCCCATTGCCACCGTATCCTGAATAAGGGCTTTGAAGAGGATTTTCACCGTATGGATTGACTGGGTAACTTCCGCCACCCTGAGGCAAACCAAAACTCACTCCCCAGGTCGGTTTGATATTGAGTTTCGACGAGTCAATGTTACCCAGCAAACGCTGCAAAGAGTCACAGCAGCATTGTTGAGATCCGGGATCCGATTCTTTATTTTAACGTGGGATTAACGCGTTTAGTAAATAACTACGGGCTTTTCTTGAATATCTGGAACCCCATGGACCTCTAACTGGGGCTCGAAGTGACACTGGGGCTATTGATTCTTCAATAAACACTGGAGAACATCAGAAATTACGGTACGATTTTTCTCGATATTTTACGATTATGTCATTTTCATTAATTCGGGATAGAGACAGTGGAGCAGGCGAAGCTTAAAGAGGGAGGAAATTCTAGATTCGAGGTCCAGGTTCTCAAGGGTATTAGGTGGTCAATATCAGAAAGCAAAGAAATTATTTTGGGAAAAAGTGAACTCAACGAAATTAGCCAAATTTGTGAAGAGAGAGTAAAGAATTAAGTAATAAACATTGAACTTACGGATTGTCCGACTGCTGCTTTATCAGTAGGACCGTCACTCTTGGCTTCAGCTTTAGCGGCTCTCTTCTGCCTCTTGGTGTCATCACTCTTGTTTCCCTGTGATTCCTTTTTCTGTTCTGCCTGTTCAGTTGCATTGACACCTTTTGGGACACGAACAACGCTCATGCCACCGTTGGCATCAGTCACAACGACATCCTCAGATTCTGCATCAATGCTCTTTCCAATATTTCTGGGGTCAAT